ATTTCCTCAGAGGCTGCATATTAAGTCAACATTTTCATTAATCCACCAACAACATCAACTTCAGCAACTCAAATGCCCTCATTCTTAAAAAGTCATCTTTCAAAGGTAAACGCTGAATCCATCAACTTTTATTTGATCTCATTTGCCATTAAATTGTGTATTTCCCATTCTAATTTGGAAGATTTTTTTTAGAGTGTTTTGTTGTCTCAATTTGGTGGCACAAAATTAGCCCACTAGAATTAAGATAACGTGAAATGTTAATGCCACTTTATAATGCATGGAATGGCAATCACTAAATAGGATCTTAGATATTGATTTTTGTTGTGAATCGTACCTTTGGCTTTAACGTCACATTTTTAGTAAGATAGACATGTACTCTAGCACACCAATTTTGATTGTTCCCTGTCATACATTTCCTGCTAAAAGTTAAGGACAGTATGGTTAGTTCAGGAATAGTATGACACACGCATAACAAGATTGATCTCACCTAAGATACTCACATAATACCTATTGTATTCTATAACTATTTTGAAAGCCAATATACTATTGTTCACAACCTGTCAACTAGAAGTTTGAAGTACAGTCAGCATACAAAATTGTAGTCTTTTTTGGGCAGGGGTAGAACAACTTGCCTTCAGAGGTTGTGGGTGTGCCATCACTGGAGGCTTTTAAGAAAAGACTGGACAGCCACTCATCTCAAATTGTATAGGGTTCCTGCTTGAGCAGGGGGTCAGACTAGGAGACCTCCAAGGTCCCTTCCAACTCTGTTATTCTGTTACATTTAAGCTTCTTCAGTTCTGACTGAATGGTGAGGAAATATTTTTAACTGAAGAAGCTTCTTGGATGACAAGCAAAACGTTTTCAACGGGGCGGGGAGGGGGGGAATCCAGTCTCCTTTTGGGAAGCACCTCTGGGATTTTGCCCTGTCCTGGATGAATGATGGCATAAGGTCTTCTGCCTTGGGCAGGGAGTTGAACTAGAAGACCTCCAAGGTCCCTTCCAGCCCAATGATTCTATGTTTCTCCAGAGCAAACTACCCATTATTATAAATGATTCTGTGACTTCAGTTTCCACTTCAAAAGCGCATGGAACATTTTGTTCTGATGAACAAAGCATGAGATGGATTCTAAATTATTTCTGAGGGTCTGTATTATCATCCACAACAATTAAGTGGAGGAGACCATGGAAACAGCCTCTATTTGAGGTTTCTGGATTGACATAAATGGCAGAGAGATACCTAAGTAGTTCGGTTCCCAAAGTCTTCATTCATCAGTCTCTCTGCCTGAGTTCTCACAGGTCAGTAGCTACCTTGGCCTCAACAGAGAAAAATTATGAAGCAGTGTTTTAATGATAATGGTTAGACTTCTTGATCCTTTCAATGGATTACAGTTCCATTTTTATACAGATACACACACTTTAAGGAGAATTCAATCAATGTATAATTATTTCCTGAATAAGTACACCATTCCCCCTTGCACCGAACACATTATTAAAAATGATCCTATATTTTATAATGTATATTTTTTATGCTACTGGATATAATACTTATAAATGGTACGAGGCACAAGTGCCACATATACACCCATTTCTTCCCTCAGGTTTTTTTTTCCTTCAAAAAAGCAGGAAAAGGTGGGGATTTTTTCCGTTTTCAAAATTTCTAGAGATTTCGCCTCTCTGACTTGGGAAGGGATGGACAGTTCCTCCACCCTCAATGGATCAAGTCCTCTAGAAATGTCATCTTTCACCTCCAACCCTAAGTAGGCTAACACTAAGCACTTCAGATCGCAATGCTGTGCAACTCAAAATCTTCTGCTCCAAGCCAATGCATTTCAAAAACATTTATCACGTATGTTTTGGGGAAACCGGATGGCTCCAACTTTTGAGACGTCCAGTTGCAGGCTAAAAGTGCTGACTTCTGGAATTCTTCAACTACAAATCCTATTTGAGGTTTTTGTTAAGCTTTACTGGAGCGTTTCCTCACACAAAAATGCCACAGCAGAGAATCAAACAAGCCACAACCACACTGGGATCTGAAAAGCAGCTGCTAAGAAAGCAAACCCTGTGTCAAATTTATGGTTGGGCTGAAAGCTTTTTTAACTCATGGCAAAAGTCCACGAAAAGAAAAATGCAGCCTAGATGATCACGCAGACCCAGCTCAGAATAAGACTAGAAGGAGATTTTTTTAGCAGTGTTGTTTTGTTATGTCCTACAAGATCACATGCATTGGCACAACTATCTTTCTGGGTGGGCAGACGCATATTAGACACCTCTAGTGTATCTCTCCTTCCCTCTCAGCCCAACAGCCAGAGTGGCATACCAGTAGTCCTTGTTTAATTACACAACTAGGACTAGAAATTCTATCTTTAAGCAGTGTGCTCATATGACCACACTCCTGACAGCACTTCTAGCAATCCCCCATTGCTTATGTGACTGTAACCTAAGAGTTCCTGCTGGCTTCCCCATTGACTTTGCCTGTGAGAAGCTGGTAGGAAAGGTTGCAAATTGTGTTCAGGTGAATGTGGGGACACTGCAACAGCCATAAGTACAAAGTTCAGTCACAACAAGTGGTCGTTAAACAAGGACTACCTTTGGTTGTGAAGCTGCTGGACTAGGAGAAGGGAGATGGAAGTTTCCCATAGAAGTTTGACTGGCATGACTTTGGGTCAGTTACTGTCACACCCCAAGGTACCAGGTGGTCCGTTGGTGAAGGCTAGCCTGTTGCTCCACTTAGTGGTCTCCCATCTTCTAGTACCTTCTCAGCCATGGGAGAACTTCGGGTCAGTCTCTCCCTGTCATCCTTATGCTGGGAAGTCAAAAAACATTAATCTACCAACACATATTGGGGCAGCATGGCAGATTACGTCCATAGGCCTTCAGGAAGAGGACTTTATCCCGTGGCAGATTAATCCAAGCTTATAATAATACATATGAAATCTAAAGTATAAAATAAGACTCTACAGGAGAGTATCAGTAATCAATAGTTTCAAATTCCAAAACGGCGACAATTACGTGCAGCTTACAACCTATATTTTTGCAGCATGGAAAATTTAAAGAAACTATTTTTGGGAGGCCATACTAAAGGGAGAATTTCAGACACAATGTAAAAGAGAAGATACCATATATAGCAGTCAAATCTTGTTTTTGTAATCAAGAAGCAGCCCTGTCCTAACTCAGGCAGTGATTTTCATTACAACCACCAACAGAAGGAAATTTAGGGCTCCTGATCACAGCGAGAATTAAAGTTATTGTAATGGGAGAAGGTTGCAACAACAAAAGGTGAGTTTAACAACTTGCTTAATGTAAGATTTCCCTACATATAAGATTCTCTGGTCCAGCAACCTCTTTTGAACAACCTAATTTAGCTAATACTTATGGTGTTCGAGCCAACAGCATTCATGTAGCCATCATGTAACCAACGGTTCGGCATCTATCCAGCAGCGTCACTACATTTTAAGATAATCAATTTCATGGATCATATTGCAAGAAATACTTTTTTCTAAGTCTTCTGCCAATCAATTTTTCTAGGCAGTATCTGGTCCAAGGAAGCACCACTCCCATGATCTGTGAAATTCTATCTTCAAAACCACTTTGTTAACTTTAAATGGAAGCCCATCAACTCAAGATGCTGCTCAACCACGATTCCCACCTGTCTCAGTTAGCATGGGCAATGGTAAGGAAAGATGAGAGTTGGAGTGTGAGACATCTGGGAAGTCATGGCTCCTCATACTTTTATTAAGAAAGAACTTTTCCACCATGCATCCTTAAGTTGAAACCCAAGTATTCATCTTTCAAGGTAGAGCAGATTAGGACACTAACCTGATTTGAAGGACTAGAACTTCTAGTGGGTTTCGACCGGTTCGCACCGGTCCCTGCGATCCGGTTGGTCACCGAACCCGGAAGTAAGTAACTTCCGGGAACGGCAAAGCCCCCCCCGCTCGCACACCCACGCCTGCTCCTTACCCGGTTTTTACGAATTCTGCGCTTCCACGCATGCGCAGAACGCATACAGC